TATCTTCAACTAGATAGTGCCACACTCCGTTCCAAACTGACTGCATTGACTTGCACTCGCAGTGGCTGTATATGAGTGTTTTGGTTGTTCCACTTAGTTGAAGTCACTGTAATGTTTCTCATTGTGATAACTATGCAGGTTCTCAAACCATATTCCTGTTTATTTTATTTTAATCTATTGATTGTATTTTAATGTATACTCTGTATTGTAGCCTTTGAAGTTGTCTTAAAAACACATTTATTTTCTTGTGATGCCACTATTTACAACCCTTCAAGCACTTCCCAATTTTGTCTTAAATGTCAAAGCTTCTTAGACTTTAATGTTGGGTCTGATATGGTTTGGCTGTGTCCCCACCCAAATCTCATCTTGTAGTTCCCATAATCCCCACCTGTCGTGGGAGAGACGCTGTGGGAGGTAATTTAATCATGGGAGTCAGTCACTCTCGTGTTGTTCTCAGGATAGTGAGTTCTTACTAAATCTGATGGTTTCATAGGGGACTATTTCGCCTTCTGCTTGGCACTTCTCCTTGCTGCCACCATGTGAAGAAGGGCAGGTTTGCTTCCCATTCTGCCATGATTGTAAGTTCCTGAGGCCTCCCTAGCCATCCTGAACTGTGAGTCAATTAAATCTCTTTCCTTGATAAGTTACCAAATCTCAGGTATGTCTTTATTAGCAGCATGAGAATAGACTTACACAGGTCCCATGCTTAACTCTCAAAGTTTATATCCCTCTTCTCCTACACTTGAACTCATACTAAACTATTTTTAACTTCCCCCTAAAAATGAAATTTGTGTCTTAGTTTAATCACATGTCTGTGAATTAACTTCAACTCCTAAAATGATTTCGATTCTCTCTCCCTGTCTTCCCTTAACTTTCACAAGGATAACTATTACATATTCTTCAAAAACCCATATATTTTCATTGTCTATAACGCTTTCCCCAGCCTGAAGCCTATGTTAGATTTTCTTACTATGAGGTCCATGCAACTGTCCATAGCACTTTCCAGGCTGTATTGCAGTGTTTACATATAAAAATTCCTTCTTGGCATTTCTTGGAAAATTTATAATTTTCTAAATACTGACAACAATCAGTCAAGAAAGTAGGAAAATGGCAAAAGTGTAATTAAAATTCTGCATAGGCAGAATAATGCCCCCTCCAAAATATTCATATTTTAATCCTTGGAACCTGTGAATATATTACTTTGCATGGCAAAAATGACTTTGCAGATGTGATTAGAGATTTGAGATAGAAAGATTATCCTGGGTTATCCAGGTGAGCCTAATTTAATCACATGCATCCTTAAAAGTAAACAACCTTTCTCTGCTGTTTCAGAGAGCATTGGAATGACAGAGGATTAGAGAGAAGTGGCATGAGAAGGAACTGATCTTTAACTGCCTGTCTGGAAGACAAAAAAGGGTCATAAGCCAAGGAATGTAGGAATCCTAGAAGCTGGAAAGAGTAAGGAAACAGATTCTCCAAAAGGGAAACATGCTACCAACATAATGAAACCAGGTTAAACTTCTGACCACAGAACTTTGAGATAATACATTTATTAATATATTGTTTAATACACTAAGTTGTGGTAATTTGTTACAGCAACGACAAAAAACTAATTCACTCTTCTCTTAGGGAAGGGGTCCCCAACCTTCAAGGCGCAGACTAGTACTAATGTGTGGCCCGTCATAGCAGGTGGTGAGTGGCAGGCGACCAAGCATTACCACCTGCGCTCCACCTCCTGTCAGATCAGATTCTCATAGGAACTCGAACCCTATTACGAACCGGATATGCGAGGGATCTAGGTTGTGTGCTCCTTATGAGAATCTAATGCTTGACGATCTGAGGTGGAACAGTTTCATCCCAAAACCACCTTACCCCACCAGTCTATGGAAATATTGTCTTCCATGAAATTGGTCCCTGGTCTCAAAAAGGTTGGCGACTGCTGTCTTAGGGTATAGAGTCCTATCTGTCTTTTGAACTGCTGCTTCTCTCTTCCAAAGCAATCTGGGGGCATGATTTCTGACACATACAAAATCCCTTGGTGAGAGTCTGCCGCTCACCAAATGAATAAATTTAAACTGCCCCAATTGTGTTTCAGAATGTGTACCTAGATTTTTGGCTAGCTTGACGTTAAGGTACTATATGGTTGCCCTCCAAAAACAAGAGCCACCCATGTCTTACAAAACAACTCCATTGAACCAGAAGTTATTTTTTAACTGTTTTATCTGCTTTTTGTTTTTATTTTCTACTTTTTTCTTTCACTTGCAAAAGTTTCTCCCATTTGTTTTGAGAGCTTCTGTTATCTTACACACATCAACAAATAGTTGTTGATTGATAAACTGACAATATGCTTTCTGTTAACTGAAAGATATTGTTCTTCAGCTGCAGAAGAGGAGGGATTATACGGGGCTATACAAGGCTTTACTTGCTTATTTGAGCTGATAATGAATTTTTTTAAACTACCTTCTCTAAATCGAAACCTGAGTCTACATGACTCGCTGGGCAGGATTTACAGAAAATGTCGTATTGACTGGGATGCAGAGCTGAAGAGTATAAAAGGTACCGCACAATGAGGCTTACAGATTTAACCCACTCAGGTCCTATCGCTACTATGGTGGGTAATCTCAAAAAGATTCAGTCTATTCAGGGACTATGCTTTAGGGTCACCTAAACTTCCTCCTGGTTTACCTTCCTCAGCTTATGTCTGTCCCCTTGAGGCTGGCCCTCCAAGTCTATCTGGTTGAGGATGAACTGAATGAAAGGAATCCTGGGAAATAGAAAAAGACAAACCTGAAAGTAAATGAAAAAGGTAAAATCAAGAGACAGAGACAAAGACAAAACAAAGGACTCAGAAAGAAGTCTCCATGTTTTCGCACTTATTTGGCAACTAAGGGCTCAGAAAAGTTTGGATCCAAAAAGAGGCAGAGCGCATGATTCCCCTTAGAGCAGCACTTCCAAAGCTTTTTGGCACCAGGCACCAGTTTTGTGGAGGACAGATTTTCCACAGACGGTGGAGGGGATGGTTTGGGGATGATTCAAGCACGTTACATTTATTGTGCACTTTATTTCTATTATTATTACATTGTAATATATAATTACATTATTATAGAACTCATAATGTAGAATCACTGGGATTCTGAGGTTGTCTTCGGGCAACTAGACTAGACTCACTGGGCGAGATTTACATAAAATGTCTCATTAACTAGGATACAGAGTCTATGAGTATAAGAGGCACAGCACAGTGAGGCTTACGGATGTCACTCAAATACTCATCTGGGGGTGATGGGAGACAGTGGCAGGTCGTCAGACACTGGATTCTCATGAGGAGCAGGCAATCTGGATGTCTTGCATGAGCAGTTCACGATAAGGTTCGCGCTCCTATGAGAATCTAATGCCGCTGGTAATCTGACACGAGGTGGACCTCAGGCGTAATGCGTGTGATGGGGAGCAGCTGGAAATACAGATGGACGCTTCACTCATTCGCCCGTCATTCACCTCCTACTGTATAGCCCAGTTCTGAACAAGCAACTAACCGGAACGTGACCTGGGGGTTGGGGACTCCTGCTTTAGTGAGTTTTTTTTTTTCTTTTATTGAAACAGGGTCTTGCTCGGTCACCCAGGCTGAAGTGTAGTAGTACAATCTCAGCTCACTGCAGCCTTAACTTCCCAGAGGACGCCAATGATCCTCCCACAACCTCCTGAGTTGCTGGGATCACAGTGCGCACCACCACGTCTGACTAATTTTTGTATTTTTGTTCGAGATAAGGTTTCACCATGCAGCCTAGGCTAATCTTGAGCTGGTCTCAAACTCCTGAGCTCAAGCTATCCATTGCCTTGGCCTCCCAAAGTGGTGGGATTACAGGTGTGAGCCACTATGCCAGGCCTAGAACATTTTTTTTTTTTTTGAAACCCTGTCTCTACTAAAAATACAAAATTAGCTGGGCTTGTAGAACTAACATTTTGATGAGTACCTATTACATGCCTAGTCACTGTGATGGTCCCTTTGCATTTATTACTACATTTCATTCTTAGCTCAGGGAGGAAGGTATTGTCTTATGAACTTGTAACAGCCAAGACGGAAAGACAAAATAGACCTTTGTAAAACAGATAAGCTAGAGAACTGAACAGAAAACACAAAAAGGCAACCAGGTATTATTTGGGAAAAGGAAGAATGGTGAATAGCCAGACAGATTCAATGTATGAGAGAAAAGGTAAATTAAGAAGAGATGCGCTCACACCTGTAATCCCAGCACTTTGGGAAGCCAAGGCAGATGGATCACTTGAGGTCACGAGTTCAAGACCAGCCTGGCCAACATGGTGAAACCCTGTCTCTACTATAACTACAAAAATTAGCCGGGCATGGTGGTGCACAACTATGGTCCCAGCTTCTCGGGAGGCTGAGGCAGGAGAATTGCTCAGACTCAGGAGGCAGAGGCTGCAGTGAGCTGAGATGGGGACACTGCACTCCAGCCCAACACTAGGTGATTTACTCTTAGCTGATTCCAAATCAGAAACTGATGCAAGAACTGGGAAACCTCCCACAGTACTTTCTCTCGCTGCTGTTTTCTCCAATCACACAAGGCCACCACTTGCAAAAGCATTTCTTCCATCTCGCTGGCCACATCTTCGTGGGTGACAGCACCGCCACTGTGCTTCAGAATCCTCTCTCTTCCAGATCTTTCCAGGTGCTTCTTTCAAGGTAGGCGGCATCCAATCTTTGTGACTCTACTCCTGGTTTGAGTCCTCGGTTAACAGCCTTGGGGAAACTGTAACATAAACCGCAACGCTGTTGGTGCCGTTTATTCCTAGACAAGCTGGTAACGGCGGCCTCCCCCCACACGCGGCCTTCCACTGCGCCAGCAAGTCCCCCTCCCACCACCGCGCGGAGGGCCCGCATAGCGCAGGCGCCCCGGGCCCCGCCCCTTTCCGAAGACTCGGCTCCTATTGGCCCAGGGGCCGGGGCTGGAACGCCCTAGTGGCCGGAGAGGGGTGATCACGTGACCTGCGGGGGTGGGGCTGCGCCGGCCTCTTCCCAGCCCGCTTGAAAGGGTTTGCGTAGGCGCCTTGTCTGCCCTTAAAGCGCTCAGTGGGCGGCCGGGCCCAACTCCTCTCGTCCAGACGCACGACGGGAGTTGCTCCTAGCTCTCGTGCGTCCCGGGTTCGCTTTTCTTTCCTTTCCGAAGCCTGGCCCTTAGATCCACCACCGCGGAGTCTGCGGCCGCCAGGAAGCCCAGATCCGAGTGTCCGGAGACTAACCGGAAGTGCTGTCCCCAGGCCTAGGGGCGGCGCCGGCGGCTGCCTGGGTAAGCGCGGCCTGCGGGGCCCAGGGGTGGGATGGGGGCGCGGCGGGACCCCAGACCCTGGGCCGCAGTCGAGTCGGAGCAGCCCCTGTTCCTGGACACGAAGCATGGCCTGGTTCCCCCCTGACGGCGGACGGAGGACTGAATGATGGTCAGTGAAAAGTTGAAGGAAGAGAACGTTAGTACGGTAGTTCCTAGAAATAATAATAGTGAACACTGCAAGGCACTTTTCAAAAGCCATAGATATCTTTCATATATATCGAGGAAAAAAAAGGACGTTGAATGGCTTTTTCTCTCCATCTTCAGTGCAGAAATTAGTTATGTTGCAGTTGAGTCTATTTGCAGAAGTATCTGGTTTGTTTAATCTTTCTATAAGCATTTCTTTTTGGAAAACGGAATTACATATAATTTTATATTAAATACATTTATCCCATTCACTTTGGGGTTTGACGGGCACCAGTTTTCTATTATTATGTTTATTACTACAATGTGTCTTTGACCTTAGAAGATGAGATAATACCAACAAAAACAATTCGCAGAAGGAGAAAAAACAAACAAGGGAAACGAGGCTTAAGGCTTTGTTATGAAGTTACAGTTAGTAATTATTCAGAAAGATTCTTGACATTTTGTCTAGAACTAGTCGGAACTGATGGCTACCAGCGGTAGGTACTTCCTGCAGGAGAAACAACGTAAGCAAAGATGGGAAGAAGTAAGCTATGGTTGGTTGAAGGATGCTCACTAGAATGGAGAGGAAATGGGATCAGTTTTCTAGGCCAGCTCTGGAAAAATTATGAATTATAAAATTTCACAAGGTCATTGTCTGTATTTCTGATTTTTCCTCTAGGAGAGGGAAGAACTGACTGTTGTGAATAGTTCTGGACTAGGGACCTTTTGAAACCAAAGGGAAGATGGTCTTGAGTCTTTCTTGTTATGGTAAGTGGCGTACAGGCTCTGTGTTTCTGTATAAATGTGGATGGGGCATGGGGTGGGGCAGGCTGAAAGGCAGGAAAGTGTGGGAGAAGATATATGGAAAAAAGAGAATGGCCCTTTCTTAGCTTCTAAGATAGCAGAGTGATAAAACTGGGCCGTATCCTACCAATTTAAGGTTTTCTACTCCTTTTCAACATGCATGCATATTCATGTTAGGCTTGCAGTAATTGCTTCTTGATTTGTAGCACAAAGAGGTGGTATGTCTAATGCTTAGGCAGGCTCTGGAGTCAGAAGAGAGATATTTAAATACTGGCTGTGTTACTAACTATTTGTAAGTTGTTGGGTGATTATCTAACTGCAGTAAGCATCAGGTTTTCTACCTGTAAGATCCAAATATATGTATTAATAAAGCTATTTTATAGGGTCCTTGGGAGGACCAAATGAGATAATCCATGCAATCAATGAAAATAAATGAGAAATTTCCAAGCCTAAGGCCTATAAACACTATCTAATTTTAAATAATGCTTTACTGTCTCTTGATCCCATACACCCTTTAACTATAAGGATAACCATGAACTCTCAAGTTGTATGAATTAGCCTGTTTGCTTGGACTTTTGTTGTGTTCCAGCTTATTCCTTTCATTTCTACCCTAGCAGCAAAGTGTACTAATCTCTTCCTAGGATGGGGCAAGAGAAGCATTCTAGAGGAGGTTACCTTGGAGCTAACACTTGAAAAATGTATTTGGGTTTGCCAGAGGAACCACCCAGGGCTAGTGGTCTAGTCTGTTGTATCGCTACTGGGGGTCCAAGGATGATGGTCAGGCCTGTTTGTTCTGATATTTGTTCATGCTTTTCATTTATTCCACAAATGTACTGTAGGTACTAGGGATATTATAGTAAACAAAAGACTAAGTCCTAACCCTAATAGAAGTTATATTTTAGTAAAAAGACAAACAAATGAACAAATATAAAATGTATATAAATGCGTATCACAAAGTTGAATGGTGATAAGGACTATGGAGAGAAATAAAATGGGATAAAGCAACACAGGCTATTTTAGATAATGTAGTCAGGGTATGCTTCTTTTTGAGGAATTAATCTTCAGGCAGAGACTTGAATCAAATATACATACACAGTTGAATATACATAGTCCCAGTATTATGTTAAAGAGGTATTTTTTTCCTTTTCTGGGTAGTTGTTTATTTGAAACACAGATTCATTTGTTTTCTTGCTTTTCTCCTCCATCTTGTCTATTTAGTTCATTCATTCTTTTATTGAATATGTAAATGTAACTTAATACTAAAAGTAAAAATATGTGTGTCTGTGTATTCAAAAACATATTCTTAGAGAAATGTTACTCTTTCTCCTCCACCCAATTCTGTTTTTCTGTGCTGTCAATTTTTATCTGCCTTGTAATGATAACCAGTCTCATTGGTTTCTTGTTTGTTTGGACAAGTGGAGAAATACATATAATTTTTTATTTTGACTTTCTTACACAAAATACAACATAGTTTTTTACACTTTGCTTTTTAAAATTTATAATTTATCCTGGAAATCATTCCACATCAGTTGATAAAGATTTTCCTCATTCTCTTTTACAGTTGGATAGTGCTCCATTATATGTTGATGTACCATAGTTTATTCACCACTTTCTTATATACAGATATTTACGTTACTTTAAATATTTTCCCCTTACAAACATTACTACAATGAGTAATCTTATGCTTGTATATTTTCATGTTATTGGAAGTGAATCTTCAGAGTCCATTTCTAGAAATGGGATTGCTGAATCAAAAGTAAATGTGTATTAGTTTTGTTACATATCACCACATTCCCCTCCAGAGGTGACTATCAATTTGCATTCCCTCCAGCAACATGTGAGTGTGTTTGTTTCTTTACAGTGTTGACAGTAAAATGCATTGTCGTACATTTTCATGTGTGGCGATTTAATTGGCAAGAACTGGTATTTCATGTACATTTAAAAAAATATTTCATTTTTTTATAGACTTTATTTTTTAGAGAACTTTTAGGTTCATAACAAAATTGAGCAAAAAATACAGAAAGTACCCATATATTCCCTACCACTCCCTTTACCCTAGCACATGCACATACCACACACACACAGCACACACAGCATCATCCACTGTTAATATCTTCAACAGAGCAATACATTTCTTACAGTTAATGAACTTAAGTTGACACATGATTATCACCAAACTCCATAGGCTACATTAGGTTTCACTCTATGTTGTACATTCTGTGGGGTATCTGACATAATAGTATCATATAGACAGTTGGTATGATACTCTTATGGTAGTATTGCCCTAAAAATCCTCTGTGCTTTGTCTGCTCATTCCTCCCTACTCAGTAATTCATGACAACCATTTTTCTTTTTTACTGATTTCATAGTTTTGCCTTTTCAGAATGTCACATAGCTGGAATCATAGAGTAGGCACCTTTTTTAGGTTGGCTTCTTTCACTTTGCAATCCGTAAATTTAAAGTTTCTTCATTTGTTTTCATGCCATAGTAGCTCATTTCTTTTTAGTGCTGAATAATACTCTATCTGGATGTACCACAGTTTATTATCCATTCACCAATTGAAAGACTTCTTTGTTGCTTCCAAGTTTGGGCAATTATGGATAAAGCTGCTATAAACATTTGTGTATAGGTTTTTGTGTGGACATGAGTTTTAAGCTCATTTGGGTAAATACCAACGAGTGTGATTGCTGGATCGTATGGTAAGAGTATGTTTAATTTTACAAGAAACTACCAGACTCTTCCAAAGTGGCTGCACCATTTTGCATTCCCACCAGCAGTGAATGAGAGTTGCTATTGCTCCACATCCCTACCAGTATTTGATGTTGTCAGTGTTTGGATTTTGTGTAATCTAATGAATATGTAGTAATACCTCATTGTTTTAATTTGCATTTTCCTAGTGACATGTTGTTGGACATCTTTTCATATGTTTATTTGCCATTTGTATATCTTTGGTGATCATGCCTTTCATGACTTGCCAGTTTTTTAAACTGGTTTGTTTTCTTGTTGACTTTTAAGGGTATATGTGTATTTTTATGTATTTGGGAGATTTTTTAATGTTTGGAATAACAGATGTTATTTATCAGATGAGTCTTCTGCAAATATTTTCACCCAGTCTGTGGCTTGCCTTCTCATTCTTTAGGCAGTTTCTTTTTTTTTTTTTTTTTT